CCAAATGAACATGTTAGCCACACAATTAGTAGCAAGAGAGTGGTCTTCAAGTAAGGTGGTAGAAACAGCTGCAGGAAGAGGCCCCAAAACTGGAAAGATCACAGCAAGTATTACAGAAGAATATCACTGAATAAACTATAACATTCATCTGTCATATGTCATCCACCCACCAAACACCAGAGGAAGATATATTCATTAGAATGACTGAGTTGTAACAATATAAATTTTCAGTCAATGACTGAAGTAGCATATTCTCAGATACATTTCAAATGGGAGTACAGTGCAGGAAAATAATTGTGAAGGAATTGCAAATGATTATGCAGAGATACTTGTGCAATATTACGGACATATCTATGGGATATTATAGGCATACCTGTGAAATATGACAAGCATACCTGTGAGATCCTCGAGAAAGCTCTCTGAAGTGTCTCGGAGTCAATCATGATTCTGATTCCGTAAGTTTTAAAACATTATGAAATGATGAAGCTATTTGAAATACTTACGGAGTTTTCTCTTTCTAGCTATAGACCTCCAGTCCCATGAATCTTGCCAGCAATTACGAGATTTTACAAGAAAAGGTAAACAAGTTCGAGACAAGAAAAAGGCACAATGTGGAGAGTAAGCCTTTTATTTATGGACTACTTTTGGGTCTCAGTAAAGCCTTATCAAGTCTTCTGCTTCAGTGAGTTCATGGGCTATATACATATATATATATATTTTTGGTAAGTGGTATGCTTGGTGGGCAATACAGTTCAACAGGACATAATTATCTGTTATTTTTCCTTCGTCGAAGCTTTACAAGTAATTTATGCAACGCAGTTCGAGGTGGCTATTATCCGGTCTCATTGATGAACAGACCTCCCTTATCTAAACAAGAACTTTCTTGATACCGATGCCTTAATGCCGACAATAGTGAAGAAAAAATATGATCCAGAACAAACTTATATTGGGACAACTCTTTGTAGAGCTTTACCAAGCCATGACTTGATCAAGTTCTACACAGAGCGAAATGTTCCAATAAAAGTTTGCTTGCATGAATTCCAAGTTACACACATAGGCTCCGCCAGTACAACTAGCTTTTTTTTTTCAATCTAATATAGAGGCATGAGGACCAAGATTCTTGTACGGGAGTCAGAAAAGAGGTATGCAACAGTTGAAGACATCATCACATGTGGGTAGGATCCACTAGTGCTGGGGTTCCTAACCTTTTCCAGGTCATTTCCGGTGTTTGCCAAATAATCTCTTATGATCCCCCTCCCACCTCAACCTCACTCTTAGCCACGGTGTTTTCATTTATTTACGCAGTATTAAATTAAAGCAATAATGATTTCATTAGTAACAGCACTCAAAGCAGAAACATTAACTAAAAAGAAGTGTATGAATAAGGAAATGAAAATTAATTCAGAGATAAATGAAAGCACTTGACAGTTCCGTTTCAAACACAAACCCTGCCACTGCAACACTGTTTTGAACTGTGTGTCAGCAGCATATCTGCAGTGGACATGTCTGTGTGAGACACAGTCCAATGAGATTCCCGCACCTGTTTTTTTCTACTAGAATCTGTTTTTTGTGAGGCTACTGCTGACAGTACATTGTAGACAACACTCAACCTGGAGCTTGTTCTGAGTCTTTGACTTCAATGACAGATGAGAAGAAAAGATAAACTCGAACAGATATGTTGAAGAAAACTGGATTGGCACACTAAGAGTGTTATTACCATGACCAGGATAATTGAGCACATTATTCCCCAGAACCCTTTAAGACACAGGAATCCGAATTAATCTTTTGCCGAGTTGTGATCGAGTTTAAAAAAACAACTCCTAGAACACTGTGGGGACAGCATCTGCACGGCATTTGAATACATCCCTTGTCAGAGCCATTTTAATTAGATTGGTATGCATTTTAGGAAATAACTACTGCAACTCAGTAGTGAGGGAGTTAAGGTGCTCTTGAGCACCTGGCTGACGACATCTCTGATTACTTCAGAAAGTTGGTGGAATTGGGTCGTATTTCCATCTTGGATCCGTCTCCTAAAACTGCAGTTTTGCAGTTGTAGTTTGCTTTATCATCAGCTTCTAGTTTTGTACAGAGGATTCACTAGCATTTCAGCCCTGGGGTAGGATACAGCGTGCTGATACGTGCAAAACTATCATGTGGTAAGAAGAAGATTTGCTTGAGAACAAAGTTTCATTTAGATCAATTTTAGCTCTGTGTACTTTTATGTCATGACTTAAAAATCGACTAGGCAGAACGAAAAGTTGTTTCAATAAAGGTTCGTTCTTCAATGTGTCTTTTTTTTCTCTACTGTGCAGTACACAATTTGGTTCTAACACAGGAGCAGACATGACAAGATCTAACTTGCTGTTTGCTTCTACAACAGTAAATAAAGGACAGAATCTCTCCCTCAAACAAAACTCAAACACTGAGAGCTGTGGTCAGATATAACCAAATGAAGAAGGTAGGAAGATGATTTACAAAACCCGTTATTGAAAGGTCAGAATAGAAGGACCTGTCTACCAAGACATGCATCGCTGGAAGAGGCACATGGTAAGACAGGCACTCGGAGCGAACTACCGCTCATCAGGTATCCACTGTATAGATGGGTATGATCATTCCAGGAAGAAGCCATCAACTCCTTGTGGGATCATAGGGCTTGATCGATCTGTGTGTGTATGGTGCCTCGTCTGTAGTGACTCCTTTGTCGAGGGTTTCCATAGAAGTCTCCCAACACAACGGAGTCAGGGACGCATTTCCAGCATGTGTGTGCACACATGGTCACCCATCCAACTACTCGCTTACCCTACTCCATGATGTCGCCACGTGTCAGTACTACCTGGAGCTCTGAGTGGAAGGTAGGGGGGAAGTATCGGAGACCTGACTAAGAATCATAAAACTCGAAATGAAGGTCAGTAAGGTAGAACTGGATGTTGCAAAGCAACATAAACCCACAGCTGATCAACAGCTCCTGGGTCCTCATGCCATATCTTACAGATTGTTTGGTTATGCAATAATTCAGTATCATATCTTACATATACTTCACTGCCGTACATTTTTTAAATATTATTACATAACGAGTAAGAAAATAAAAGAAAGTTAGGAAGCTTAGAGTTATCTATCATGAAAGAAAAAACCTCTAAGGTTATGCAATAATTCAATACTATACTATATAGGTTTATTGTTTTCATATAAATATTTTTATCACTTCTATAAAAGAAGTAAGAAAGAAAAGAGAAAGACAGACAGAAAAAAGAGGCATGCACAAAGACAGAGAAGGGTAGGAGGTGAGGAGCCTAAAAGATAATGTCACCATATTCTACAGAAACACTTGCAACATGGACCACACGTTCTTACCTGCAACTATGACATCAGTATTATACCGTGTTTAGCAATATTTCTCACACATGTAGTCACTGTGGTTATAATATTCTCTCACATAGATCACTTATTAAAAAATATATACATTTTAATGATTTCTTGAATACCATATAAAACACTATGCTGCACACACATATATATTATACCTTACACACATCTTCACTTGAATATTTTTCACACGGGGTTGTATATAATAAAAAGTGTGATGTTTACCTGGAGTTTACCTGGAGAGGGTTTCAGGGGTCAACGCCCCCGCGACCCAGTCTGACACCAGGCCTCATGGTGGATCAGGGTCTAGAGAATCACTAGAGGAGCTGTACCACTCTCCTTATGTGGTTTCGAACCCTGCTCACACTCCAACAGCTCGTCAAATCTCAAAAACCATTCGTATCCACTCACTAATAACACGCTCACACATGCCTGCTGTATGTTCAAGCCCTTTGCATACAAATCCTCTTTTACTCCCTCCCTCCATCTTTTCCTATTTTGCTCCTTCCTCTCTAAATGACCAAACCACCTCAACAACCCCTCCTCAGCCCCCTGAATAATACATTAAGTAATTCCGCACCTCCTCCTAATCTCCAGTTGCCCTTATACACAACATCTCCACTGTCTCCAACCTTTACCTTGCTGCAGCATTTACAACCTATGCTTCACACCCTTATAAGAGTGTTGGTACCACTATACTCTCATACATTCCATTCTTAGCCTCCATGGATAACATTCTTTGTCTCCACAGATACCCCAAAGCACCACCCACCCCTTTTCCTTCATCAGCTCTATGGTCAATCTCATCCTTCGTAAACCCATCCACTGAGAAGTCTACTCCCAAATATCTGAACACATTCACCTCTTCCATACTCCCTCCCTCCAATGTGATATCCATTTTTTCTTTATCTAAATCATTTGATACCCTCATCACTTTAATCTTATCTATGTTCACTTTCAACTTTCTTCCTTTACACACACTCCCAAACTCGTCCACTAACCTTTGCAAAATTTCTTTAGAATCTCCCAAAAGCACAGTATCATCAGCAAAAAGTAACTGTGTTAACTCCCATTTTGTATTTGATTCCCCATAATTTAATCCCACCCCTCTCCCCAAGACCCTAGCATTTACTTCTTTTACAACCCCATCTATAAATATATTAAACAACCATGGTGACATTACACATCCCTGACTAAGACCTACTTTTACGGGAAGTAGTCTCCCTCTCTTCTGCACACCCTAACCTGAGCCTCATTATCCTCATAAAAACTCTTTACAGCATTTAGTAGCTACTACCTATTCCATACACTTGCAACATCTGCCATATTTCTCCCCTATCCACTCTATCATATGCCTTTTCTAAATCCATAAATGCAATAAAAACTTCCCTACCTTTATCTAAACACTGTTCACATATATGCTTCAATGTAAACACTTGATCTACACATCCTCTACTCATTCTAAAGCCTCCTTGTTCATTGCAATCCTATTCTCTGTCTTACCTTTAATTCTTTCAATAATAACCCTACTATACACTTTACCTGGTAAAGTAAACTTATTCCCCCTATAACTTTTACACTCTCTTTTGTCCCCCTTCCCTTTAAATAAAGGAACTATACACACTCTCTGACAATCCTAGATACTTTTAACTCTTTCATACATTTATTGAACAAAATGTATATCCCTACCTGCTTTTAACATTTCTGTCATGATCAAATCAGTTCT